AACTGAATCACCTCTAATAAGCCTACATCATGTAGACACAATGGCAATGAACAAAATCAGAACACAGACTCCTCAGCCTTTTATTTCCAGAAGAAATTATGAAAGTATAGCTATGCTTAAATTAAGATTAGATATACCTTCAACTGTTGCGACAAGGCAAAAGCAACCTCAGAGATTAAAATATACACCTACACACACCTAATATTGTTCACTACTTACATACTGGGTTCACCACTCTATATATTCTTATACAAAGTTATGCAGAAAGCAGCATTACTCAACTTTAGGATAACACAGCAGTAAAGCCAACAACAGAGGAAAATTTATGTAATTTTTGTTACTGAAGATGCCAGTGCATCACTGTTAATCTAACTTTACAACCATACTAAACAGTTTATAATTGAATAATAAGAATCCTTTGGATGGATCTAAAATGAAAGTCACAAAGCAACAGCTAACTTTCACAACAGAGATCTACTTCAAAGCATAACAACTCCTCTAGATTTCAAGGCTGAAGTATGGTAAAATGGGTGAGTCTCCCTGCCTCAGCAGAGAAAAGTGTAGGTCCAGCCACAGTACGTAACAATTCCATTACAGTACTCCATCTAATTTCTACATTCCAACCTCTCTACATCTGTCTCTTTTCCTTCTTGTCAAATCAGAATTTCTCTAGGTCATCACCAAACTTCTCCTCTCCAGATCTTCCTTCTAGAAAGAAGTGCTTACCCTCAGCAAAGACATACATGCCTTCCACTGAGCTAAACTCAGACTAAATCCAATACTCCAGGCATTTAAAATTCTAATGCATTTGAACAGAGGTTCAGATGTAACACAAGGCCCCTAATTCCAATAAATAGCATACAAATTTTTAGTATCTAATTGTTTATATGGTGGATGGCAGATGACACAAATTAAGAGTACTTTTGTTCAAATAAAATAATGCAACTATAATGTGAATTGAGATTTTGGCACTATGAGCTTTTGTTTCTATAGTGTAAACATTTGGTATGTACCGAACACCGTACTGGGAAAAAGTTTTAAGTTAACTAAAAAACTAAAAAGTTACCAAAAATGGAAACTATTATAGTGTTACTAAAGCAAAAAGAAGCCAGTAGAATATGTGAGTTACTTTCTATCAAACTATAAGCCCCATTTTTAAAAACAATGATACAAGGAGGATCGCTGCAAGTTTGAGGTCAGCCTGGGCTACATGGTGAGTTCAGGACCAGCCTGAACTACAAAGGGAGACCCTGACTCAAAAAAATAAAAAATAAAAACAATGATCGATGTATTTCTGTGATAAAACTAACAAAACAACACTGAACATACTACAAATACTATAACTTGTTCAATAACTGGAATGTCATTTCAGCCTCACATGGAACAAAGTAACATAACACATATATGAAAAATAAAGTACTTATAGAATGATCACACCTTTTATTCCTCATATTTCCTAAGTAAAGACCTTCCCCACCGAAGTTGTTTCTAACATGGATTCTCTTCCCAAGAGTTGTTCTCCCTGAAAGGCAATGTAGTGCAATATAAAAATCATGGCCTTGGACACAGGGTGCAACTCCCAGCCAGCCACTGCCTGGCTAGGTGTTTCTGGCAATTTCTTTAACACTTTTATGGACATATCACTGAACCTACTTCACAGGACTGAGGATTAAGTGAGTTAGTTTGTATGCACAATGTCTAATATACTCCAGGATAGGAAACACATAATAAATGGTATCTATTTGTAGTAGCTAAATTTTCCTTCCCCCATTAATTATTGGCTTACTAATTTACTAATTTACTACCTACCACCTAGTCTCCAAGGAGTCCACAGTAAATGAATTCCCTCTAAGGCCTTTGAGATCTATAGATTTAAACAGTCCCAACATCATCACAAATAACATATTCTGATACTTTTTTGTTTTCCAAGAATATCATTTCATCCTCACATATGATTCGATACTTACACTCTTATTAATATCTCATTTTATCTGATGAGAAAACTGGGCAGAGAGAAGTGATTTGCCCAAGGTCATACAGACACTCAAAGGTTTATAAATCAGAATTAGAACCACAGAGGAAAATCATCTACTGTAAGCTTTTCATCATATCACCAAACTGCATAATTAAAATGGTTGAATTTTATTATGGTATATAAATTTTACCTCAATAAAGCTGTCGAAAAATTTTTAAAATAACAACATAATTGCCCATTTTGTAAATCAGGAAAATCTGGATGTAAATGATGTGCATTTTAAGTACTCAAAAAATAAAAACTAAAAATATGTAAGCAATATGCTCCAGAAAGTCTGTTATATGAATCACATATGCTTAGCAATTTATCCTGATTTCCCCTATAATTAGAACATACTGCTGTGAAACCATTTCAGCCCCAAAGATGAATTTCTTTCAACACTGTACATTCTGGATGATATGAAGGTTATGGGTTTTTTCTTTTTTTAAAAAAAGTCCTTTATCTCTTAGTGTCATGTACTTTAATGAAGTAAATCTGAGTATCCTAGTTTGTTCACGCTACTACAACAAATATCTAAGCCTGGGTGATCTGTGAACAATAGAAATTCACTCTTCACAGCTCTGGAGGCTGTGAAGTCTGGATCAAGGCGCCTACTGGGTCAGGGCCTGGGGAAGGTGCCCGTTGCAGATGACACTGTCCAGGCTCCTCACGGGGAAGAGGGCCCAGGAGGACAGGGGGAGAAGGCCTTGTTTTCTCTTCACAGGGCAGAAGAGAAAAGGAAGAGTGCTCCCTCTAACCTCACCCCCTTAAGGGCTCTCGGACTCCATCACTTCTTAGAGCCACACCTATGAATATCACCACAAGGGGAATTAAGTTTCCACACAGGTATTTTGGGAAAGGAAGACACACCTGGAATAGGACTGGTCATTTGTCAATAAATATTCAAAATGGGTGGTAAGTTCCTTTTACCATTCCCTACGTTTCTGTATGTTTGAAAATGTCCATTATAAAATCTAAAAAAATTAAATCTTTAAACATACCAATAGCATGTGAAAGACTATTACCTTTTTAAAAAAAGTTTTGCCAAGTGTGGTGGTGCACACCTATAATTTCAGCACTCTGGAGGCTGAGGCAGGAGGGTCCCTGCAAGTTCCAGGCCAACCCGGGGTACACTGTGACTCCAAGGCCAGCCTGGGTTATAAGTGAGACCTTGTCTAAAAAATAAAAGTTTTGCTTCAGCAAAGTTTTACTTTAAAATCAAGAGCAAATAGTAAATACAATACATATATTTTTTAAATACTCTCATATCACCATATTCTAAAGCTCCTTGTGGAGAAAGATTTGAGTAACTGGAACCCATTTAGGACTGTTCAAGAGGTAGAAGATCAAGTCTGATACGAGCAACAGCCAAAGGATAAAAAGCAGCTTGGAGGAGTGGGCAGATAAGCCAGCTGATTCCCGGCTTCTGTCACTTATTGGCACTGGAGACTTTCGTCCCGGCCTTTTAAGATTTCCTCACTTTGTGACTGCGGTCATTTTATCAGCAGCCTCCCCATTACCATCACCATGTTATACTTCTCGTTAAAGAGATTAAGTTACTAAGAAAAGCAAAAATGTATGTGTTCACTGTGCCCAGTGAACAGCAGCAAGTGGTCACAAGAGGGAATAGAACTCTTGGGTGAAAAAGCAGTAAATATTATTACCGTTTGATCCCGGAAGGAAATACAGTCCAAACATTTGGTGCATGACACATATTAACACTTAAGGGTGTGTTCCAAATGTAGTAACAATCTAACTCACCAATCAGTCATGGAGCCCAAAGAGTTATTTCTGAAATCCCAAGTAGGTGCTCCCTGGTCACGAGAACCTGTTCCCTTGCCCAGGACAATGCCTGGCACATGGCCAAGGTACAACAGATATCTGCTGAATAAACTCCCTCCTCAGAATCCTGCCAGCTTTCTCACTTAGGTGCCACTTAGCAGAATAATTAGGAAGCAAGAAAAAAGTGAAGGAAAAACAAGTTTAGGTAATTTTAAATTTGTCAGAGCACCATGAATAGAGCATGTATTTAGTTTGAACAGAATATTAAATTACATAGTTCAGGGACATTTACTGAAACATCTTGGGTCAGGTCCCATTAGGATCATGCACAAAGACAGGCACTTTATAAAGCCTTCTTTATGCTGAGCCAACTCTAACTTGAGGCTTTTGGAAATGATTTATTTGACTTCACTACCTTTAAAGCCTAAGTTTTCATTATCTGTATTTCAACACTTGCAAAAGTCACTATATAACATGCTCCTTTTTCCATTTTCTGAAATTACATCTTAACTTTTGTTATAATAATCGCCATCATCCCCCTTCACTTTACTTCTGCATTTAAGTACCCTATAAATACTTCTGAACTCCTAGTTTTTCTTGCAATATTTAGATGGCTCTTGTGCTCACTTCGGCAGCACATATATTAGATGGCTCTTGACTGTGCCACCTCCTTGGCAGATTTTCTGATCTGTAGACTTCACAAAAGAATGACAGAGGAAATTCTGGGATTCCTCTGGATAGTCAAAAAATGAAAGTTTTCACTAGCAAGTACTTCTAATAGTTGAGGCAATTATTTTTGCTGTCAACTACTACTATGCTCTAGAGATGAGACTGTGGTAACTGCTATTTTAAAAGATATTTTTATAGAAACATGCTGCAATAAGAAAGTAAGAAACTATAGCAATTGTTTACAAAAGGTGATTTAAGGTTAAAAGGGCTTTCTGAAAGTAATCACTACTTGCAATAAAAAGGATACTAGTTAGACAGGAGGCACCAGAGCAGCATTTCCCATTTTAATGTGACTTCCGCACTGATGGTGGTGCCTTTAACTTTACTTTGTTCCCGGAAAATGAGCAGAAGCAGCAGGGCACCAGGATTACGACCAGAGCCAGCTCCCTGAGTCGAATCCTGACTATGATCCTCATTGGCTGTATGACCCACAGTCACTTTACCTCTCATCCCGACTTCCACTCCTTAACAGGGCCTGGCTGCCACTCAGAGTAGGGTGATATGCCAGAACTTTTCTTTTAAATCCTTTTTGCTTAAGCTCATTCACATTGGCTTCAATGATTAGAACATTAAAGGGGTCAGAACTAAGACAAGTGCCCTTCCTTAGCCACCTCCCCTTCTCAGGAATCTACCTTGGTATCTATCAACTGCTGAGGAAGCAATCTATTCAGTTCCCACACCTTCACGTGAAAAAAGATGCCACCTCATGTGTTGCCAGGCAGCTTCTATGATATAAGAGACCTCAAGTATGCCATGACAGTGCACACTTGGGGTGAGAGGATGGACAGAAAGGGGAAAGTGTCTCCACACCACTCCCGGGCCAAATGTTATACTTCCTGACTCAACACATTTTATACACTGGGGCCTCCATAGCCTTCTAAAGAAAGATACCCCTCCCCTGTGTGTAACAGGAGTTGGAAGGAGTTCCATTTGGGTGTTTGTGAAGACAGTGGCACACAAGAAAGACATTACAATTTTGCCTTAAGATACAGGCCTGTGGTCGGAACATGGCCTGCCATCCCTAATGGAGAAGAGCCTGAAGTCCCCAGAGTTTATTTTCTATCAGAAGAGCACATAGGCTTCATCCTGAATGCTAACCCAGCCAGTTGGTAGTTTGCACTTTATAAATGTTATGGAGTAACAGGCCCACTTTATTCTTGGCAGAGGAAAAAGTACCATTTGAAATAGTTTCATAAATCATGGATTAAGCAAGTTGTTAGTAACTTATAAACCCAAATCCCCTGATTTGTTTAGTTTTTGAAAGTAGAATAAAACCACACAAATCCCATACCTTCAATACAGCCACAAGACAAACTTTTACCTTTATATTTCCTAAAGTAGAAAATATAAACCCCATGCTATTTCTATAATTCTCTCCTTAAATCATTACAGACAACACAGGTGGCTCTAGGAGGAAAAATGGCACAGAAGGAAGAATAAGGAACAGGAAGCCTAAAACTGACCTAGAAGGAGAAAGCCACTCTAAGGGAAAAACCCTGGAGAAGAGTTACTACTACATGAAAAACCATGAAGCAGGGATCTGAAGTGTGCACCTGGGACTGAAGGAGGAAGTCCAGAGAAGGCAACAGTTCAAGGTGTGCTGGGAAATTCTGTGTGTCAACTCGCCTGGACCACATTTTGTCCAAACCCTTGGTCAAATATCATTTCTGGTATGTGCAAGAAAGTGCTTCCTGAAGAGATCAGCTCTGGCAGACTGGCGAAAGCAGACTGCCCTCCCCTCAATGGGTGAACAACTTCTAACCTGTTAAGGACCCAAACAGATCCAAAAGGGGGAGGAAGGTTGCATTCTCACTGCCTGACAGCTTCACTAAGACACTGGTCTGCTCCTGCTCTTGGACTGGAACTTAACACCACTAATGCTCCTGGCTCCTTACAGTAAAGCCCTTCCTGAATCCCAGCTTACAGATGGCAGATCATCGGGCAGCTAACCTCCATAATAATGTCAGCAAACTTCTTATTATAGATCCCACTCTAGACAGGGAGGGGGATAGAGATCTCTACCTATTGGTTTTATTGTTCTGTGGAACCCTGACTAATACAAAGGTAAAAGAGAGGAAAAAAGAAAGTGTGGAGTCTTTTTGGAAATTAGAATATGAAGGAAAAAGAGGCTAAAAATGAAATTTAATATTTTATAAGAACCCCAAATATGGATCACACACACACACACACACACACACACACACACACTCATGTGTGTGTGTTATTAACTTAACTGGACTAAGAGGCTCCTGGGGAGGTGATTGGATGATGGGGGTGCTACACTCCCCAGTGGATTCGTCCTCTGATGTTCACAGCTGAATATGCTGTTAGGATGTGCAGGCCAACTGCAGTGGGGCACTGGAGGGCCGCTGTGGAGGATGTACTCCTCACTGGCACTCTTCCCCTGTGCTCTGCTCCCTGGCCACCAAGAAGTGAGCCACTCTGCTCAACCACGCCCTTCCACCATGACCTCCCTGCCTTGGAGCCAGCTGGCCACAGACTGAAACCTTTGAACCTTTGAAACTGTGAGGCAAAATAAACCTCTCCTTCTTTACACTGGGAGTGTTAGGTGCTTCATTCCAGCAACAGAAAAGGTAATGGAAACGTATATGTTTGCACACAAATTGTGTATTTGTGGGTATGATACACAATTCTCTTCTGCAAAAGTCGTAAGAGAGCCATGCAACAAATCATACTTTGCTACACTGACAGTGGAGGGCACCCTTCAATTAATACTTTCACAAGACCCAATAAAAAACAACAACCCTATGCATAAAAATAAGTTATAGGCAATTTTCACTTATATAAAACTCTTAGGAAAAATGAAATCAGATCAAACAGATGAAAAGTATTCCAAGGAATCAAAAATAAAGACTAATAAACATTCCAAACTGAATTATCTCTCTTTAAACAGCATTTGAGGATATGAAAAAACACCTTGAATCCAAAATTTAAAACTTAAAAACAATAGAAAAAAGCATAAAGAAATGAGAAAAGGTGACTGAACTTAGGAAAAAAAAACAGAAAAAATAGTCAAAGCTGTATCAAAAATTACTGTTAAAAATATTCAAAAATAGATGCAAATAAAAATAAAAATCACTGAAAACACAAAAAGAATGAAAAGAAGGAAAATGAAATCATGAAGTAAAACTAGTCAAAGATAAAGTTGTTGAAATGGAAGCCAAAAAAAGAAGGTATAATTATGTATAACTGGAGTTCTTGTAGAAGAAATAAAACATTGGAATAAAACAAACATTTAAAACTAGAATCCGTGTTTGTTTCACAAGCAATGAACCTGATCCTACTATATAATAAAAACGTAGCAAGGAAAATTGACCTGCTATAATTAACTCTAAGACAGATCTCAGTAAAAATAAGAGGGCCTTAAAAATAAGAGGGAATAATAACTCAGGAATTCCAGGCAAAAGAATCAAATATCTTGCAAGAGCAAGAAAATCGAGACTGGTATCAAATTTCTCAAAAATAACATTAAAAGCAAGGCCACACAGTAAACAAGGAACCCAGAATTTTGTTTTCAGCCAACCTGTACTACAAAGATACAGAGAAACAATTTTAAATAGTCAATAATTCAGGGAAAAGTATGCCCATGAACTCTTTTTAAAAACCCAATAAAAATTACGCTTCATCTAACCAACAAGCAAACAGATTGATGGTTAAGGATTTAATATATTTAATTGTAGATATAAAAGTAAAAAGACAAGTTAACAAGACAAAATAGATTATCATGCAACTGAAAAAATGTAAAATAGAAAAAAATAAACTCAAAGGTTGTTAAAACAGCAATACACGAGAACTAACACATACCATTAAATACTAACAGAGCCGGCCAGGGATTTAGCTCAGTAGTTTCGCTGCCTGCTGCACAAGCTCAAGGACCGGAGTTTGATCCCCAGTACCAAAAAAAAAACATTTCTAAAAACTAACAAAGCCCTCACCCTACTTAAGTAAAGAAACAGGAACCAAAGGGGTTTTAGAAAGGCATAAACACAGAGAGTACCAAGAAGGTTAAAGAGGGATGAATATGACCAAAATGTATTATATGTATGCACGTGTAAGAAGAAAAAATGCATGAAGCAAAAAAACTGATGGGACAAACATGAAAAATAAACAATTACATTAGAAAAAAGATATAAACACATAGCTACAACAATAATTAACAACAACAAAGCTTAAATATCCAAAGAAATGCTAAAAAGGACAAAAACAGCAAATTATAGCATAAGAAATATTTTTTAAATAATATACAATAAAATACTATTCATAACATATGACCATATGGCAAATTGAGGCCAAATATAACATTCAAATAAACCAGTTTTAATGTGTCTCTTTTTTTAAAAAATGACCCAACCGCTGTATGCAAGAAATAACTACCAGATAGTAGTGCAAACTGCAATCCCAGCACTCTGGAGGGCTAAGACAGGAGTCGTTCCAAGGCCAGCCTTGGTAACCTAGTGACCTAGCAAGAGCCTGTCTCAAAATAAAATAGGGCCAGGGATTTAGCTCGCTGGTTCTGCCGCCTGCCTGGCAAGCACAAGGACCCAAGTTCGATCCCCGGTACCAAAAAAAACCCAACAAAAATGGGATGGGGATGTAGCTCAGTATGAAGGCCCTGGGTTCAATACCCTATACTGCAAAGTCAGAAAGACAGAGAGACAGACAGACAGATAACCAGAGAGACAGAGACAGAGAGAACAAAGACATACAGGGCAAACAGAAACAAAGGATACTGATTTTTATATTAAAAAATAATTCAAGTCAAAAAGCCTTAAATATGACAGACAAGACACTAATGTTAAAAGTCACAATTCACAATAAAGACATGACAGTTGTGTACACCTAAGCATATATAACAGAGCAACTACCTTTCAGAATTTTTTTTCCTTTGGTTTTTTGAGACAGGATCTTGCTGTGTGGTCCAGGCTGGCCTTGAGGTTGACCACAAACTCAGTGCAATCCTCCTGCCTCAGCCTCCCAAATGCTAAGATTACAGGCCTGAGCCACCACACCCAACCACAACAACTACATTTTTTTTTTTTATAAGGGGAATACATGTAACTCCCAGCTGGTAGATGTTAGATATGCTGAGTTTGTGTTCCCCAAAGTTGAAGAATGAATTCTAGGGAACAATGGAGGATAAGAATAGGAAAATTTGTTGGGGAATAGTAATGGAGAATAAGAATAGCTGCTGAGAGACAGGAGGGTTCCAAAAGGGTTGCCAATAAGCCTACTTCTCAAAGGTAGTTTTATAAAGCAAAATTATGAGGGTAGGTACAATGTGGGTAAAAACTATAATCAACCAATAAGATTACAAGTATAGTTGCTTAGGTAATACTGACCCAGTAGTAACAAGGGTATGTGGATGACATCATTAATCATGGCTGATAATCTGTAGTTTTAGTCTTAAATCTTCTCCCCCCCCCATTAAGTTTATTGGTACATTTTAGGTATA